CTCAGAATTCTAACAGACATTTCCAAGGGAAAATGTGAAAAATGTCCAGGCTTTCACACGTTACTACCAGGCCAATGTGACTCCTTTTTCTTTTGTCATGGTCTGTGGGCATTAAATGGAAAGGGAGAATAGAGTACTAGAGAATAAAGTTAGAGAGATTAAAATCAAACCTCAAACTTGGTAATTGGCTCTTATACTTCCTCTCTTTCTTTTATATTTTACTTTCATTATCCTTTCCCTTTTGTGAATTCTTTTTTTCAGCTTTTAAAAATTATTCATGGTACCTCAAATTCTTTAGGAAATGAATGGGCAATAATACATTCAGTACATGTAAACAGCGTTCTAGTCAATTACAGCGGGTGGCTGACCTGCTTGGAGGGCAGACACTTCACATATTCAGCAAGTAGAGAATCAGTTATAGCCTGATATGATGCTACAATTGGAAAGACCTTAGTGATTACATGGTCCAGGGATTGGCAAGACTTTGGCATGAAGGCTATCATTCCTTTATCCTGTACTTATGGCTAATTTATCACAAAACATTCTCTCATTGCATCAAGATTCATCTCAGCTGTCTCAACTAAGTACCCTAGGCAGTCACTACCAATCACTAAAAGTAGGACTATCAAATAAATCCTATTTGCAACTCAGGGTCTAGTCCATTCTCTTAATTTTATAGATATGGGACTGAGGCTTCTAATCAGCTGCAAGGCTCAGATTGGAGCCAAGTCCCTAATTCTGAGCACAGTCATTCCAGAATGTCTCCATACTCCTAGAAGGCTAACTATTTTTGTATGAATACATGATGACAAAGCAGATGTGTAGACACAGAATGACAGAGGTGTCCTGGAAAGAAAGATTAAGAGACCTTCATCCTGTTCTGTTTATTGCCAATCTGAGCCCAGGTATGAAATGGAAAACTTTACCAAAAGAACAAAAAGATTTTCAACTGATTTAGAAACTAATCATGTTTGTCAAGCAACCCGGAAGAAAAGGGTAGCATGAGATTTTTGTTTGTTTATTTTGGTTTTGCCTATCCCGCTTTATAGAGAGCCAGGGAAGAAGAATATCCACATAAAACTATTTCAGGGTCATTGAAAGTCTCCACTCACTTCAAAATTCTTCTCCTATTGTTAGTTCCTAATACATGAAGTTCCTTTAGTAGATATATAGCCTGTCGGTAACCACTGAGTGATTACACTGAAAAACAAATTCTTGTAGAGAGAAGGAATTCATTGATTAGGGTGTCAATAAATAGCAACAGGGCTGGCCCTGTGACATAATGGTTAAGTCCTGTGCGCTCCACTTTGGCAGCCTGGGTTTGCGGGTTCAGATCCCTGGCATAGATCTATACCACTGTCAAGCCATGCTGTGGCAGTGACTCACATACAAACTAGAGGAAGATTGGCACAGATGCTAGCTCAGGGCTAATCTTCCTCAAGCAAAAAAAGAGGAAGATTGGCAACAGATGTTAGTTCAGAGTGAATCTTCCTCACTGAAAAAAAAAGTAAAACAGATTATCTTCTAAGAACAGTTTGTGATAAAGAGGGAAAGATGAAAAAAAGAAAAGAAAAAGTCCATAGCAAGAGAGAAGATGTGGAAAAAGGAGGCTGGGCCACCACAAGGTAGTTTTTTCATAATATTGAGGACAAGTGAGGATTTGGTGAGTTGCCCAAGGTCTTTCAGGTGAAATTGAATTTTGAATCCTGCATCCCTTGACATGATTCACATTACACTTTACTGCATTGCACTTAGCCCTGACCATTCCTCAGAGATCCTCTTCATGACTAAAAATTATCTATCACCCAAAGCTCCAGATCATCACTAATATTAAGTGAACAGTTACTATCTGCTAGGCTATATGGTTACTGCTTCTCATATGTATTACCTCACTTAGTACTCACAGGTAACTTATACAGTACATTCTTTTATTACCTCCACTTTACAGATAAGAAAACTGAGTCTTAGAGGCCGGCCCAGCGGCATAGTGGTTAAGTTCACATGCTCCGCTTTGGCAGCCCAAGGTTGCAGGTTCAGATCCCGGGTGCAGACCTACACAATTGCTCATCAAGCCATGCTGTGGCGGCATGCCACATACAAAATAGAGGAATATTGGCACAGATGTTACCTCAGGGACAGTCTTCCTGATCAAAAAGAAAAAAAGAAAAGAAAAGAAAACAGAGTCTTAGAAAAGTTAAGTAATTTGTCTAGGGACTTCTGGCTAGAAAGTGACAGAGCAGCGATTTGAAGCACAATCTGTCTGATTACAAGCCAAACTTCTAATCACTACACAAATCTGCTTCCAGTTTTACCAGAACCAAATAGAGGAATCTTAGCCTTGTTTTATATGTTCTTCAGAATTAAGAATGAAATTTTGGGACACTATATAAGAATTCTAAAGAATTCATATTCTTTCTCCACTTTTGCTAAAAATCAACAAAAAATGTAAAAGGATATCTGATGTAAGATTGTGAGACAACTAACTGCAGAAATCAATCACCAAACCAAGGCCCTTGATTAAAACTGAACTTTTTATACTTTAAAAAATCTCTGCTCAATGATACAGTTGAATGTTGAATATTATATCTGTTTTTACACACACATCTATTTCCACACACAAGTATGAAGCAAAAAATATACAACAAAGCTTCACAGCCCAAAGCCTCCTCCCAGAATGGCATGTGAGCCTCTTCCTGGCTAGTTGAATGGGCCAAATTCAGCCTGGGAGCTTTTTAAAGGCTGAGGACGACATGCAGCTAAATGTTTGTTTCACTGAGGCTAAAGTCTTTGGGAGACCGGTTGTGATTTTCTTTAAATGGAAGTTTAACAGGTCAGTTGTTAGAAAAACAGAGGAAGTCAGAGAAATCTAGATGCAATGAAGAGCAGAGTTTGGAAATAAAGACTTGGAACCTGGGGACCTACCTGTTGGAAGAATTAGTGTTATTTTCACTTGTCTGAAGGAAAGGTCAGCAACTTTGAAAATTGAGTGAGTATCAATATAGGAAAGATTTTGAGAAATGTGCCCAAGCCTTTACCCAGAAAATCCTCTTTGGTAGAAGAATCAGAAACTTGCTAATAAGTATTAAAATTGTCTCTATTAAGTGCCATGAAAGCAAACCAAAACCAAAGCCAAAAAATGAACTTTCTGCCAGGTACCCATATAATACAAATCAGTATAATATAAGATGCTTGCCTTGAAAAGGTGTAAAATATATATGTACCTATAACAAACATGAAAGGGTAAAATAATAAAAGGTGCTGTATGCTAAGTGCCAAATATCTAAGCCAACTAATAATGGTCACTTGAGTTCTGAGGAAGAATCAGAGACAGGTGAGAGGGGAATGCGCCAAGGAACCTAACCCATCGTTTTATTTTGCCTGAGAGGAAATAAGAATCGACAAGAACTTATCTGCCTAAAGCTTAAACAGCTACAGCAGTTCCTCGCTGAGCTGAAATCTCCTGAATCCCTGGTCCAAGGCATCTGCCAGCACATGAGGCTGTCAGGGAGAGACTCGTGAAGCAGTAAGAATTAAGCTCACCTTTGTAGGGAGGATAGGGATTGTGACATTTTGTTGTTTTCTTGGGCTTTGCTTACTGAAGTCTGCTAAATCTAAGTCAACCACGCCACCTTCAACAGTTGATTGAAAATGAGAAGTTTGACTAATGTCTATTGTTGGACTTGTACGGACCTGAAATGAGTCACAGATACTTCGTTCATCAAAATGTCATTCTTTCAAAAAACATTTATTTGAACATCTACTGAGTCTGGGAATTTGCTAAGTTTTGAGGATGCAAATGTAGAAAGATACGATCACTGAATTCAAGGAGTTCAGAGCTTTCTGAAATCATGGAACGATTATGCCATAAGTAATTATAATACTAAGGGTAATTGTTATCATGGACATAAATACACAATGCAGTGCAAGCATCAGAAGAGGGTTTCCTGTCTTAGTCTGCTGGGGCTGCTATAACAGAATACAGGAGACTGGGTGGTTTATTTCTCACAGTTCTGGAGGCTGGGAACTACAAGATCAAGGTGCCAGCAGATTTGGTGTCTGGTGAGTGCCCACTCCCTGCTTTATAGAAGCCGTCTTCTTGCTGTGTCCTGACATGGCAGAAGGGACAAGGGAGGTCTTGGAGTCTCTTTTATAAGGGCACTAACCTCATTCATGAGTGCTCTGCCCTCCTGACCTAATGACCTCCCAAAGGCTCCAGCTTCAAATACCAAAACATTAGGGATCAGGATTTCAAAATATGAATCTTGGGGGGGGTACAACATTCATTCTGTAGCAGTTTCTAAGTCTTCCAGCACAGTCTGGGAAAGCAAGAATGTCCATGGAAGGTTTAGGTAGAGCATGTCTCTGTTTCTCTGTTCTGGGCTGCACTCCAAGGAAGATGAAATCACATGGGGTAGAGAGTGAAGTTACCACCCACAAAAAGGCATTACTGAGTAACTCTGGAAGCTGGTAGGATATTCTTGTCTATGGGGGAAATATTAAGCCCTAAATCTCTAATTACACAGAAATTTAAATATGTAAATTGAATGATCCCAGGCCTCTCTCTGTGAATTCATATAAAATCACTTAATATTAATATCTCTTATCATTTATTCCAAGCTGATACTGCTAATGCAGGACTTCTGGTTCCTTGCAAGATTCCTCAAAAAGGTGAGAGAAATGTGTGGAATTAGATACTGGTGATGGTTGCACAACATTATGAATACACTGAAAGCCACAAGTGTATCCTTCAAAATGATTAAAATGATGAATTTTATCTCAAAAAAAAAGATTACCCCAAAATATCCCCAAAATTCCTCAAAGGAGTTTTACAAATGCTTACAAAACCAGTACAAGGCTCATATTTCTGGCTTTTACTACATACCACTTCTTTTTAAATTTTAAAAGATCTATATAATAAAATATTTCAAACATGCAGAAAAATGCACAGAATATTCACCATCCAAAATCATATCACCATCCAGAATCAAGAAATACTAACATTTTGCCATATTCAGATTTTTACTTCAGATTATTTTCATAAAACTGAGAAGTAACATACAGTTGAGGACTTTTCCCATCTCATTCTCCTCTCTCTCCAAAGACAGCTTTTCTTCTGAAGCCATTATGATTCCTTTCTGTAACACATTTAAAAATATTTACCACTCATATATTTTTCCATAAATTGTACACAATATTATTTCATGAGCTTAAATTTGATAAATAAATGGTATTACTGCATAGAAATTTTTATCCCACATTATGTTTTCAGGATTTTTGTTCAAACATGTAAACGTGTTTAATTCACTTTAACTGCTGTATACTATTCCATCATATGTATATACTACAATTATTTATCCATCCCCTATTGACAGTCATGTAGGTTGCTTCCAAATATTTACTATTACAAAAAGGATAGCACTGATCATTGTTGTTCATATCACCATGTGCACATTTCTATGAATTTCTCAAAGATATATATAAGAAATAAAATTTATAAGATATTACCAAATTCCTCTTCAAAGAGATTATTTCCTCATATCTTCCCCACCTTTGTCATGTTTGCTCTCCTTATTTTTGTTTCCCTCATGGATGAGAAATAGCATCTTCTCGTTTGCACGTCATTAATTATTAGTGAATTTGACCATCTTTTCTTAAGGTTTTTAACCATTCGTGTTTCTTTCTCTGCAAATTTGCAGTTCATACCTTTTGCTAGTTTTCTTTTTTTTTGACGGCACTAGCTTGGGAAAAGTCATATTTATTTGGGAGAACTATATGTTTTTAAAAAGCCAGACTAAATATTGAATGCAAAATATATGAAACTATGATCAAGTACTCTCTCTTCTCTCCCCTGCCCAAAATAAAACATTGTATTTTAATTGATCGAAACACTATTATTGAAGTACAATTTAATGTTAAAGTGGTTGTATGAAGACGGTATTTCAGGACATTTTCAATATCCACTTTCCTTCTGCTGCACTGGGATTGCTAAATGGTCACAACAGGAAAAGCTTTCAAAGTTGTGGTAGCTTTCTTGCAAAACCAAGAGACACACCACTTTTTACAACAGGGAGCTACATGCAGCAAGTTTGTCCAATACTGGCTTGAAGTTCTTCTACAGGCTTCTGTGTTCTCTAACGGGAAATAATCCTTCATCAAGGAGATCAGTTGTCCTTACTTTTTCTTTATCTTATGCCTTTATGTGTAATTTATTAGGAAAAGTTTTAGGTGTCGAAGATGCATTTTCCCCTGGTTTTTATTCTAGCAAAAGGTAGGGGTTGGCTTTCATTTTTTCCATGTTTACTTTGCCTTTAATTTCATCAGTGTCCTTTGGCCAGTTTTCTATCTGTCGTTTGTCTTTCTCTCACTAATTCGTGTAAGTTCTTTATAGTCTGAGTTCCACTCCTCTGCTGACTTTACATCTCCAAGCTTGAGGCATATAATCAAAAATTTTTAATTTATATAAAATCTAGTTTGTCAATCTCTTCTTTATGGTTTCAATCTTTACATCTTGCTTAAGAAATTCTGTCCTGCCTTGTCACAAAGACATTCTTCTATATTTTATTAATAATTTTACTTTTTTGCTTTTTACATTTGGGTATTTATTCCTCATGGATAGTTTTTGGAAAGAGACCTAATTTTTTTTCTCATCTAAATAGACAACTGTCAGGGCAAGTGTTACTAAACAGTGCATTTTTTTCCAATTTAGTATAATGTAATCTCTCATATACAACAAGTTCTTTTTCTGCACTCTTTCTGTTTCATGTATCTATTCATTTATCCTGAAGTCACCACCAGGCTATCTTAAGTACTATAGCTTTATAATAAACAGGTTTTGATATCTGAAAGAAAAAGTCCTCAGTTACAGTTGGATTCCTGGGGAAGGAAAATCCTGAGATAGATACTACATGCAGGATGTTTATTAGGGACTTTTCTGGGGATTAAAACATGTGGAAAGGAAAGGAAGGAAGCTGAATGGGCAGAAGGAGAAGTTAAGCTGTAATGCACTCCCAATGAAGGTCACAGCCTACCTCACAGGGAGCTCCGGGGCTGGGACAGCCTTTCAGAGTTGTTCCAAGGTGGGACAAAGGGCTAGCTACGCCTTTATACCCGTATTGTTTAGTAAACCTCCCTGGAAAAGGGGCATGGCCTTGGGCTGGATGGATCTTTTCAACTGAGGCAATTATCTGAAGGTAGCTGACAATCAAGGAGTGTCTGTCAGCAGCACTCTCAGCATCCGAGGCATGAATTCCTTCATTGCCAAAGAGTGATCTGTGTGGCACATCACATCCTCCCTTTTTTTCTTATTCAAAATTACTTCGACTATTTTTGGCTCTTTACTGTCAATGTGAATTTTACAATCATCTTATAAAATTCCACAAAAACAAAACACCACTTATTTGGGTATAATTGGAATTGAGAATGCATAAATTATTTGTGAGGAGATGACATTTATGATATTGAGCTTCCCCATTCTTTGACTATGGTCTTTATACTTCTTTAAGTCTTTTATGTCCTGCAATAATATTTTATCATATTTTCCATAATGGTCTTGCACATCATTTGTTAGAGTTATTCCTAGGTATGTCAGAGTTTTTGTTGCTGTTTCAATTGTAATTGTTATTATTATTACATTTTTTAAATTGTTTGAAGTGGTATATAGAAATTCAACTGATTCTTCTATCTTGATCTTATACATGGCAACCGTGATGAACTCTTATGATTTCTGTTTGTCCGTAAATTCACTTGGAATTTTCATGTAGAGAAAAATATCATCAGGGGTATTTCTTTTTTCTTAGCTAGCTATGACAGTAAAATGCAACCCTGAATAGATGCAGTAATAGCGGCATTCTTATTCTTATTTAAAGAAAATACTAAATAATCTTAATAAAGTTAAGAAAGTTCCCTTCCTAAAAGGACTTTTTAAATCAATGCACTAAACATTTTAGAGATACGATATTAATAAGTTAATATTGATGAAGTAGGCACGATTATCATCTAATTTTACCAATGAGAAAATTGAGGGAAGTAACTTGTCCGAGACCACACTGTTAGTAAATGTTAGAACTGGGATTTGAACACGGAAGTCTGTCTTCAGAGTACATGTTCTTAACTGCAACACTTAAGGCCTCTCTCTCAAGCTCTCTAGCAAGCTCACCCTACTTCCTCAACTTTCAATACTATTTCCTAGTATTTTATTTCTACCTTATTTTAATTTTGTCCCCAAATTTTCTTTTTTACCCAGAGTCCCAAACTAATGACAAGATTCCTTGCCACTTCTAGACTCAAATTTTACAGAGGGGGCAACCCTTTTGGCATCCTATCTTTTGAGATTTGTGCAAGAATCTCAGTTCCAGCTCTCAGCCTTTGACAGGGGCAAGGCTACATTTCTGATACCCTTGCTTGGGCACTAAAACCCAATTTTCTGGCCATTAGGATTATATTTTGGGAACAATATCCCATTGGTCAGTTGTCATAGCATTTGCTCACGTGCTTACTATCCTGTTTTCATGTTTCTTTTTAACACCTAATAGTTTTATTTTTGATTACACTTCATAATAATGTTTTGTTATATTTTTACCCACCATTTCTATGTGTTTGGAGTCATGGAGGTGGGAGGGAAGGGAGGGCCCCTCAGTATCGTCTCAGTCCCAATGTTGCTGGAATTTCCACCTCTTGTTTTGTCACTTCTAAGCTCTTCTTAGCACTTCCCTGGCCTCTGCCTCCAGTCACTTTGCTAAACTGGCTGAGTCACTCCAAATTTACTTAAAGATGCACAGCTTTGCAGTTGCTTCTGAAGCCAGAGGGAGAAGGTTCTCTCTTCTGTGTGACACTTAGGTGTTGGTAGAGGAACAAAACAGGTTCCTGGGCCTAAAGATGACTCAGTTTACTCTCCACTGGAGTAGGTTTCAGCTACTATTCTGTACGCTGACACACTGCTCCTCTCCTACCCTCAGGCCCTGTTGCTGAACCTCATTGAACCAGATTTTTCTTATCAAATGATGAATTGGATGTCAGTGGCCCCATCATCCTTTCCAGTCATACTTCTGCTGGCACCCATCCTTCCCTCCAGTCAGCACCCCCTCTCACCTCCACAAGACTCCGTAAATGCAAACAGATACTTGAGCAGGGACAAAGAGTATCACCTCACTTTGCATTGTGGACTTACCTAATCTCAGCTCTGGCTCACCAACACCCACTGCTATGTACTAAAAACAAAACTAATCACACATGTGATGTGAATTTTATTTTAAAAGAATAGATTAAAACTTTTGTTTCAAATGGAGGTGAGCTTTCCCATCTATTCATAAAAGAGAAGTAGGATGACTACAGAAGTTCTGAATCTGGGTCTCACCTTTATAAGGCATTAAATCAGCATTTCAAGACAGAATGTTAAGTCCAGATAAGGTGTGAATTTCCACAATTAAGGAGCTTAACTGAGTGAGGACCTCTTCTGCTTTCTTGGTGAAGACAATCCTCTTCAATATTTATTTATTTATAATTTGCATACATTAAAATTCACCTATTTTTGAGGAATATACAGTTCCATGAGTTTTAACACATGCCGAGATTCACGTAACTGTGATCATAATCAGAACAGACAGTTCCATCACTCCCAGAACTTCCTTGTGCTGCCTCTTACAGTCATACCCTTCCCCAACCTGTAACCCCCAGTAGCCACTGATCTGTTTTCTGTCACTATAGTCTTGCCTTTCCAAGAATGTCATATTAAAGTAATCATACAGTATGTAATTTTTTGAGACTAGCTTGTTTCACTTAGCAGAATGCATCTGAAGTTCATTCATGTTGCTACATGCATCAATGGTTTGTTCCTGTGGAATGCTGAGTAATATTCCATTGTATAAATTTATTATAGCTTGTTTAGTTCATTCACATATTAAAGTCTGGGTTGTTTTCAGTTTTGGGTGAATGCTCCTTAAATATTTTTGTACAGGTGTTTGTGTGAATTTAAGCATTCACTTCTCTAGAGTAAATCCCTAAGAGTGGGATTGCTGGGTCATATGGTAAGTGCATGTTGAACTTCATAAGCAACTGCCAAAACCATTTTCTAGAGTGGTTATGCCACAAAGCAATGTATGAGAGTCCCTGTGGCTCCACATCCTTGCCAGAACTTGAT